GCTGACTGTGTGTTGTATCAAAATTTACAACTGTGACCTGAGAGTAGACTGTAAAGTTAACATTTGTGGCTTTTCCTCCTAGTCTGTCTCAGCTCCAATTAATCAGCACCAAGCATGAAGGAGGGCTTTCTCTCCTCTTGCAACCTTCGTGGCTGTCAGGAGAAAAGATTGTCAGGAATATTTACATAGAAGCTACAGAAAATGCCTTTTTAAAAAAAAAATAAAAATCCCTGCTTGCCCCTTTGCCCCTCGGAAAATATCCCAACCTGGGTGTTCAAAAATTGGAAGTTCTCAGAATCAGTCATTATAAAGTATTTGCCATGATTTGTATGAAAAGTTACTCTATTTTGCCAGCCTGGAATAGTGTGTAATGCCACAGCAAATTCAGTGACTGTGGTGTGGTTTTTTTTTAATAAATAAAATATGGGTGAATAAATACGTACCTTTTCTTTTTTCTTTTTCTTTTTTTTTTTTAACAATGATTGCATTTGAAGGTTTGATAACTCTGCCTCTAGGGCCTGCACCTGAGAGTCTGTGACCTAAATATAATGCAACGTGACAGACATTCCTATGGACGACCTGAGGTGGAATTTTAAATTCATCCCCTTTTTCTTGCTGGCCCAGGGGGCCAGAAGGATTAAGTGTACAGCCTCAGAGGCTCTGGAAAGTTCTCATGTTCCTGCTTTTCTGCTGCTCTTGCCTTGGCTTTAGGGCAATCTCTTTGTTATGTGATTAGCTTGAGAGAGGCTGTTTTCAGCTTGCCCCAGGGATTCCTTCCTACTAAATATGGTAACTAATGTAGGGAGGCCTAGGATTCTCTTAGCCAGCTAGTATCAACTGAATAACTTAAAACTAGAATTTTTAAAACATCTTTCTCTTTGAACGCAGCAGCCATATATAAAATGCAGAAATAACTCAGTGGTTGAAGGAAACGAGGGAATTAATCATTCCAGCTTTTACAAAGTATAGACTTGAGTGAAATTCCGTCACACGTGAGCTAGTGAGAAGTGCCCTCTGATGGTGTTCTGTGCTTCAGCTTGCCAAATACGATCTCCCTTTTGCATTTTATACTTCCTAGTTAACCAACTCTTTGTTTAATTTCTGGGTTGTATGCTTCCAATACAAGGTACAGGGTGCTCAGTTCTTAGCGTGTTCCTTCCAGAACCTAGAAAGTCAAGTGCAGAAGTTTGGGGAAACGTCTGTTTATTTTCCCACAGTCTTTCCATGGGAAGCATCCTTGGTTTATAACATGTGATGAGTATAGTAGGTTAGCTGGTTGTGCCTAGAATATGTGAATTGTTAAACAGAAAATACAAAATTTACATGTGAATAAACTGAGTAATCTTCTGGCCACATCACGCTTAGTACTGGCTTTAACTCTTGAACTGGGAAGTTTGGAAAAGTCTGTGTGGAGAGGATTGTTTTGTTTTTCAGAACTTCTAATAAATTGCAAAGTATTTGGTATACTTTGCCAATGTGTGTATTTCTCTCACTCTTCTCTGTCCAGTATATTTCTGAAAGGTTTAATTCGTAGGTTCCATTTTAAATAATAAAACCTAAATTGTTCTCTTTGTTTAAAAGCTACTCGGGGAATTGCTGCAATTCTCTTTCTGAACTTGTTCCAGTAAATTATGCTCTCCTCCCTTTTTTAAAGATTATTAAAAGGGAGGACCTGTTTGTAACATCAAAGCTCTGGAATACCAAGCACCACCCAGAAGACGTAGAGCCAGCACTAAGGAAAACACTTGGAGATTTGAAACTGGATTACCTGGACCTGTACCTCATGCACTGGCCTCATGCCTTTGAGTAAGTTCTGTGTGGAAAGGGCACAGAAAGCAGAACCCCCAGTTTTATGTAAGCAGCTGGTGCTATGTCCTGAGGACCTTCTTTCTGAATTGTGAATTTCTTTCTGTGTATTCTGCCTGCAAGATGTTTTTCAGTGTGGCTGGTAGTGTAGTCCTATGGACTGTCATATAGATACTCTTTTCTACCCATAACCTGTACACATTCTCACATTTAGACAATTCATTCACAGAAACAATTGTTCAAATTATTATCCTTCTTTGAATTTCAATTGAGTGGGAATTTGTTTACTGTTACATTTGTAGCATGTCTGTAAGCATACGTTAGAGGAAAATTCTAGTTTCGTATGGAAGGAAGCATTGTCAGTAGAAAAAGGAAAACTGTTCTTGTTATTTAGCACTAATGAGGCTGGAAAAATGAGTATTAAGTCTTCAATTAAAACCTTTCAGCAATTACTTAAATTTTTTAATAGTGAGAACAGCTAGGTAATGAAGTTAGGATCACTAATCTTCCGAGAGTTTGGCATCGGTGCCAAAGTTAGGTAACTGAAAGTAGCCTGACTGGGAAAAATTAATAAAGCTTTATTGGACAGGTTTCTATATTGACATGTACCATCTTACAGTAGCTGAGGATTTGGCTTGCTATGAGGTAATATCTTTGGGTTTTAAATATATTAGAAGTTTAAAATAGTCTCGTGTCTTCATTTAGGCACTGGGGAAATGTGGTGGCTATTCTTGGTTCTGCCATTGACCTACATGATAACCTTGAGGAAATCCTGTCGCTGCTTTGTGCCTTAGTTTTACTTATCTGTAAAATGGGAATTAAGTGCTTCGCAAAGACGACATCAGGGGTGGCCAAGCACATGCGGTGTCATGGTGATATCTGTATGAGGAAGAAGAAGTGAAAATAATTTCTTAAGACACGTAATTCTACGGTTTGAGGAAATATGAGACAAGAAAGTTCTCCAGTTAAATCCTAAAGACACTTCTACAATCCTATCAGAAGCAGAGCTCCTTGCTTTATTTTCATGTAGATGTGGAAGCAGTTCTGCCCCTCACCCCTACAATCAGTAAAAAGGCAGGATGGGAATAAATCTCCTGACCATCTGTTTGCCTGGGGACTTCACTCAGAAACAGAAACCTGTCAGTTTAAGGGGCTTCTGTCTGTGCTGCAAATTTAAGAACATTTTTTTCCCCTTCTAGTCCTATGAACTGAATTATACAGAGCATACAACACTAATGATAAAAGGAAAGACATTCAAGGTATAAATATATTCCTCAACAGAACAGAATGAGGAAGTGTTTTCAACTAGAGCTGGTTTGGAGGAAGAACTGTTAAAAATTCCCCCTGTTGTGAAACAGGTTTGTCTTCCAGTTGATTGAAAAAAAATGTTAAACATTGCTTTGATAGTAAAACATAACACAAATAATGATGTATATTTAGATATTACTAATATTTAAATGTACTTGATGTTGTGGAAACCGTTGACAAAACTGACATTCTAATAATGCAGTTCTATGTTTTCTCGTTGGAAGCTGTTCACTCTACACAGTTTTCCGTTAGCACTACTTCAGCTATTTCAGTGTGTGATACCTGTAATGCCTACTGTGTTGGGAGGCTGAGCAAATGCATGATATTTACACAGAAATTAAAACAGGCTTCCTCATGAAAATCACAGTGCCTCTAGGTCTTGAAAACTAATCTCTCACTTAATATCTCACTTCAACTCTTGACGTAGGAGGCTGCTTTTCTGAATTACATAAGGCTTTCAGAGTTATTTTTGGTTCTAGATTTATCAATGACAGGAAGAACTACCTCCCCTTGTCCCCAGCTGCTGCCATTTCTCAGATGGCTCACTGAGCTGGCTGAGTCCTGCAGTGGTTCGGAAGCTGCGCTCTTCTGGTGGGATTGCTGGGACCTCTCCAAGCACGGACTGGTCAGAGACCAATCACAGCCCTTTGGCAGTGCAGTGGTGTCACCTGGCATAACCAGATTCTTTCTGTGTGTTTGGGGTTTTTTAAGTTTCATTTTATTTTCTCAATGGGGTGGTATCAGTAACTGGAAGCACACTCAACCTATGAGCAACATGTACATGTTAAGACTTCTGTGAGAATCGGCGCTTGCATTGAGTACTGACGCTGCTGCAGAATCCAGAGGGTTTGAATACAGTCTCTGCTAGACAGCTCTTAAACCAAAACCGCTTTGGTAGCAGCTTCAAAGAGATTATGAAGAATACCAGTCCTCTCTCAAAACCAAATGGGAAAAACAAAGCCTCCCTCTGAGCTGCTGCTCTCTAAAGGAGCTGGTTTGTTAGGATCAACATGTGCAAATAGTTGCTGCTGTGTATACAGTAGCTCATCGCTTCTCTGTGGTTACTACTGTTGTAGGTAAGTAGTTCAAAGTAATGTATATCAAGTTTAAAAAGGAAAGTCTGTAAGTGAAGTAATTACTTACAGGTTAAGTCTGTGTAATGGAATTCAACAGACAAATCTGCCCAGTTTGTATTCTACCCTCCAAACTCTGTTCAAGGAAAGTTTTAGTGAAGAACTAACATAATTTAAATAATCTAGTATATGAACTTACACTTTACCTTTGATGCTGCAGGAGGGGGGATAATCTCTTCCCAAAGAATCCTGATAACACGATGCGCTATGATTATACCGATTACAAGGATACCTGGAAGGCTATGGAGAAGCTGGTAGAAAAAGGTCTTGTGAAAGCCATTGGGCTGTCGAACTTCAACAGTCGTCAGATCGATGATGTGCTAAGTGTGGCTACTGTCAAACCAGCTGTGCTCCAGGTAAGAAGAAGAAAGGAGAAGGCAAGTACCTTGGCTGTTGGTCTGTAAGAGTGAAGAATTTGTGTTTAGCACAAGGGGTACAGCTTCTTATGTACAGGGAAGGATACAGCCAGTTTTGCAAGCGTAGGCACACAGGAGTGGTTTTTCCAGGCAGATTAATTTGTTGGGAAGGAGGCCGCTTTCTGTGTTCTGTGGCCGTTTATGTCTGCTTAGCTGAACAGGTCTGCAGAAGAGTTTGTCTTTCCTGTGAACAGTTCAATCTGTAAGAAAGAAAGATTTTGAGGGAGTAACTTGAAACCCTTCTGTAGGGAGCTTCCTTGCTTGTGGGATGATCTGTTTGCTACATAGGGAAAGTCCAGCACTTTAAACTTAGGCAGCCTGTTCTCCTTTTGCTTTAAACTTAACCTACTGAACACTTTTTCATTCTCGTGAGGACAGCTTACCTAACTTCAGCCTTATCCTCATCAGGTTTTTGAGAATCTGGAATGACCTACCGTGATGTGTTTTGTTCTGCTGTGCTTCAGAGTTCCTGTTTGCTTAGAGTTTTGTCTTGATATCTGTTTCCTAGCCACTTATTCTAGGTCATTTTAATAGGTAGAATGTCATCCTTACCTCGCTCAGAATGAGCTGAGAGCTCACTGCCAAAAACGAGGACTGGTCGTCACTGCCTACAGTCCCCTTGGTTCTCCCGATCGCATGTGGAAACATCCAGATGAGCCTGTGCTTCTAGAAGAGCCTGGGATCAAAAAACTGGCAGAAAAATACAGCAAGTCGCCTGCACAGATCATCCTCAGGTACAGAACACTTGTGAAAGGGAGTGTCATCTGGGACCCAGCCTTAAATAAAGCAAAACATGGAAGCCAGAAGAAAACTGCTTAAAGTGTGTGTTCTTCTGCATTGGTGGGGAGTTAAGATTGAAGGCGGTGGAGAAGCACGCACGAACTCCGAGATGGTGGAAAATGGAATTCACTTTATTGCAGGCAGACACACTTATTTATACTTCTTAGCAAGAATCACTATTTATGGATTACAAACAAGAGACCAGACTATGCAGCCAGGGTTGGTACCAGCTCAGCTCGTGTACTTCTCCAATCACATTCTTATCACACAGGAAGAACAGACTTTCCCAGGTCTACTTTGATCATACTCTCCCATTCACTCCCAGGCACATCTTGTGTACAAGAAGCCTCTTATCTGTTCATTCTCACGGACAAACTCCCAACATGAGCGATATTCAGCTGGTCAGGGTCTCTTTTCATAATTAGCAAGCAAGAGTTATGTACTTGTTTAGAAAAGAGCTCAAGGATGAAAGTCTTAATTCTACAACGCAGTACTGCCAGCACAGCTAACTGTAAAGTGTATCCACAGAAGGCGGTGCCAAAAGCAAAGTCCATTTGGTGCTTGTTTTACAGAGTTGGTATGGCTGGTCCTGCCTTAGAGTTGGGGAGATAGACTAGGATCAAGATGGTGTATTCAGGGCCTGGATCCGTGTCTGGGACAGCTCACTACCTTTTCTGCTGTGCAATTGCAGTAGGACAATTTAGGCAGTAGTGTACCAGGTTGGACTACTGCCTGCTTGAATCTGCACATGGTCGGTAGCTTGAACACTTGAGCTCTTACTACTGTACTCAGACGGGCTCCCGGGAAGAGGGGCTGAGGAAGGGACCTTCCTTCACACTGCAGAACCATTTGCTGTTTTGGTTTTGTATAGCAAAAGTCAGCTGCTGGATACTGGAAAACAAGATGATTGAGTGGTATCCAGAATATGACCAGCACCTTGTGAAGCAAAATTGGATTTATATCTTCTTTTTTTTTTTTTTTCTTTGGTCTGGCTCTATATCTATCGATATGACTAGTACAGTCTTGGGCAGCAGCAAGTTATGCTGCCAGCTGAACTCGTTGAAGCTTTTGTGCTCAAACTACTAGACAGACACTTGAGGGATCTGTGTTTTCTTGTAGTTCTCAGTGGTTGTCATGTTAGAACTTGCATAAAATACTGAAGTACATTTTTTTCCGTTTCTTGAGTTTCTATCTTAAAGCACTTTAAACTTGTTTGCTTGTCCATGAACGTCTTCCTCTCGCTGATTAGTCCAGTAGCTACTGTTTTGCTCGAGCTTGGACATACTAGGTTCCAATACAGAACAGTGCTGTGTCAGCCCTGTTTGATTGTTTTTATTTCACACAGAAACGTAAGCGGCATCTCTAATGCCACAGATTATTATTAAACCAAAATAAATATCGTGGTTCTTGGGCTGCACGCACAGAAAATCTTTCTCCTCTTCCTCTTAACAGATGGCAAGTGCAGCGTAAGGTGATTGCCATTCCCAAGAGTGTCACTCCTGCTCGCATTCAGCAGAATCTCCAAGTAAGTTTAAGTGGAGGAAAGGAGTTTCAGCAATGCCCTTTCGTGTGATGAATGTGCTGTCCTACTGCTTGCAGAACAACAAGCTGAGGCACTTGATTTGTGCTTATTCATCAATGTATGTGCATGCGTGGAAGGGACGGTAAAGATTTCTAGAAGACATATTCAATATGTTTTAAACAACTGACTGTGAGTGTGTGTGCACATGCACAGCCTTGTCATCAAAAGGTTAAAGAATGCGCTTTGTAGAAGTGAAATGAAAAATCTTTATTGAAATCTAAGATACAAAACCAGGGGACTCTTCTAATGATGTTCACTGGTTCCTATAAATAACAGTTGCTTTACCCTGCAAGTGAGGGCTGGTGACTATTTCTGCAGCAGCCTGTCATTCTAATGATGCTGAAGTAATAAAATGAGTGTGACTCACTTCTGCTCTGAAGCAGAAATAGTTCACTTCAGAAATTATTTGAAAACTCTAACTTCCAGTAATTTGGAAGGGAAGTCTCTAAATCATCCCCTGTGATCTTTTTTTTCAGCCCTTACACATACAGATGGGCTGGTTACATGTTTTTAAGTCAGGACTCGTTTCTCTAACTGTTACTCCCATGAAAACTTGAGTTCTGTCATGTAGTATGCTGCTAGAAATACAAAAAAAACTCCAGTGAACCCTACAGTTACTTGAGGTTTTGAAGGTACAGAAGAAATGTAACTACAGCTTAATAAATTATTCTGATCTTGTGTGTGTGCATGTGTGCATTTGCCTCAGTTACAATTGTGTTGTTGCACTCTCATCTGAAATTAAACAGAGCAATGTCTCAGATCGCTGCTGCAGTTCTGTTCTGTCTTGGATTTTTAGAAGTGGATCCTTTTATGCCTTTAAGTCAGCTCATGGATCTCTGGCGAAATGCACAGCACAAGAGGATGGTTGTGAGGTGGAAAGGAAACATAACCAAGAGGCAAAACTTGACATCAATTAAACATGAAAAATCTATGGTTATTGAATAAAACCTCTTGCTTTTGTTCTCAGGTGTTTGATTTCAGCCTCACAGAAGAGGAGATGAACTACATTGGAAGCCTGAATAAAAACTGGCGTTACATTGTGCCAATGATTACGGTAAATTTCTCATGTTTCTGTTAGTTTTCATTATGTGCATGTGGCCATAACTTGGGGGTTTTGCAGCTTGCTTTCTTTTGCTGTCCCCACCAAGACTACTTATGCATAAGAACACTACATCTTTTTAGGGTAGCTAAGATGAAAGAATTTTCCAAAAACTAGGTACGAGAGGTAACCTTTTGAAAACTTTTCTCCTCTGTTTTGGCCACTGATGACTCTCTTGAGTTCTTATTACTGACCTGTCCATGGGCCTTTATGCCAGACTCCCATTTTCCGTCAGATTTCACCAAACTCCTGCTGATCTGTTGTTCTCATGTATGAGCAAGCTAAGGTCCATGTCGTTCCTGCAGAAGTACTCCTTGTTCCAGCTGTCCCCATCTACGTTATGCCACAAACCTCTAAGATCAGTGAAGGTCCAGGGTGCTTTTAGTTCTCCACATTCAGCATGGAAGTCACATGAGGGAATTTATCTGCTCCCCTCCTCTGGACGGTTCCCACCTTCAGCATCTGTTATAACGACCTTCCTCCAATGTAAGGAGTTTGGTTTAGGCTGTTGTATTTTTCTTCCCGAATCCATTAGCTGCAGCATCTTTTAGCATCAGTAGTTTACTCCATCCCATGAAACCTTTCCTCGCATGCGATCAGATGCCAGTCTGTTTTTAGAAAAGCCAATATCGTGTAAGTGTTGAAGTCCTCTTGGTCTTTCTTTTCTTAATTAAAGGCCCTAACCTTGTTTCTTTCCCCTCACTGGGACAGGGAAGGGGGAGGGATGCGAAAAATCAATGCCTTGTCATCTCCTGTCTTTATAGTGTTCCTCATTTCTTAATGTCCTGCTTCTGACTGTACAACAGAGAGCTGGTGCGTCACTGACCAACATCAGGCAACTGTGCTATAATGAGTCTAAAGTGATTTATCCCTTCTCTATCACAGACTACACTGCATGGATACAGGAGGTTTCTGTGCAAATTTGGAAGCTGTTAAACATAGCCTTGTCCCTCCAGCAGTTTCTCTGCCTGCCAGTTCTTCAGTAGTCAGCGGCTACCAGCTATAGAAAGTCTTTGGAGAAAGTTTTCTCGAAGGTTTATCATTGAGATACTTAAGAACCTTGAGAGTTTCTCAGTGACTAGTCTTGAGTTAGAGAAGTTGTGAATGTCGGTGAATGACTGTCTCGTAATGAGAGTAGATACTTGTTACAGCTTTCACTGCTTGTCGTGCTGGAGCTTAGGGGAGCGTCAAGGCCATGCTTTTAACTGTAGGGATGCTTCAGTACGTTTGTGTAACTATCAACCTTCACATCCTTGCAAACAGAATTATCTTTTGTGTTTATGGATCAGGAGCTTGCACATCAAACAGCAAGCTTAGCTGCTGATTTGTGTCAGTGTGGTAGTGAGACGCACACCTGCTGCTGGCAGTACGTTTCTTTCAAGTGTTTTGCTACTCGTGCTGCAAACAAAGTTGTTTTGTTAATGGAACTGCAAAATCCATTAGAATGTAGCCTGGCTTGGATGAGCTGAGGATAATTCATGTGCTTTTGTTACCTGGGAGACCTGATCAGATCACAGTGATTCATAAAGGAGAGATGAAATACAGTTCAAAGGGATAGCCTGTCCAAAGAGAAAAAAACTGAATGTGCTGCAGCTGGGCTTCAAAGATATTGCCATATTGTCAGATAACAAGACAGGAAGAGGCATGATGAGGAGAATTAAACCAGAACTCTGTAGCTGTAAGATCTCTCGCTGAACCTTTTGTCTCCTGCCCATCCCTTCTGGGCTTATTGGAAAGAATTTTCATCAACTGCGATTTAAAATTCCTGTCTAACCTTTCATGCCTATCTCCTCTATGAATCCTAACTTACAGTGTCTGGATTTCAAAGTGTGACATGGCAGCGATATCAGAGCTCCTATCATAACTGACAAGACAGTTCTTCCTTGCTTTACTTCATTGATTTATATAACCTGAAGTGCTTACAGTTGCTACTCTTCTCCACATTGTGTTTGGTTTAAAGCCAGAGGAGAGGCTATGACATGGCATGTCAACCATTTAAGTTGCTTTATACTTTCGCAGTTCATTGTCTGGATAATGCTTGGAAATTACCCTGCACCAGCCTAAAATCCAAACTTTTGGAAACACGTAATTGACCAAAGTATATACCTAAGAGAAACCTGAGTGATCAGCAAGCCAGGAGTGGAGGAGTGATGGTTTTGTACACATTATGATCTATCTACTGTTGATAGTTAGCTACCATTGACCCTGCAGTGTGTTCATTGCTGATTTTACCCCCCTCCTCCTCCTCTCAAATTCCTGGGGCAGACTGCAATCAGCTACGTGAAACTTTGCTTCTGGCAGCTGCTGTCTTGGCATGCTGTGAACGCTTACCTGAAGAGGTGTTCTGTGTAGTGAAATATGCAGGAGGAAAAAATTGGAGGGAAAAATGAGAAATATGAATTCTACTAACATGAGGAAGTTGTTGGCTCTCAAAAGAATATGAGGAAATCTGAAGATACTGTGATACTTTTTTTCCCCCAGTTTTAAGGATTGTCATCAGTTGACAGCTTTATTTCAGCTGCATTTTATTTTAATCTGAGCATCAGTCAAATGCTAAACCGTAACATCTTAGTTTTCTGCTCTGTAGTGCCCCCAAGTGCCTAATTTCACACTTCAGTGGTCACTGTAAACAATTCATTACTAGCGATTCCAGCTGTTGCTCCGAAATGCAGGTTTTATGCTGAGAGCTAATAGAGGGACTTGCTCGTGTCTACTTGGCTTGAAAGTCCTTGTGATCCCGTAGAGTTCTGAGTGATCTCTAACATCACATTTATATATATTAAAAAATCAGTGATTTCTCTAACATAACTTTTGTTCTATCATTAGTTGCTTAATTTAAGTTTTAGCTGAACGATGCTAGCCTGTCACCCTGGGAGGTGTGTATCTGTTCACCAGCACTACACCTAAATTTCCCCAAATGTTACAGATGAGGTTTTAGCTTAGGTCCACAGAAGTTGGAGGTGTTACAACGGACTTAGTGCAACTAGAAATGCAACTTGTGCATCTGAATGCTTAGAGGTGGGATGTAGGAACTGAGGCTTCTGCATGGCCATGTCTGCTTTTGGGCTGGCCTGAACCTCTATTTCATTATCTGCCAGTGTTGGTTTCCATATTCCCATTTTACAGCTGGTCTTCCATAGAAATGTTCTTAAACTGAAAGTGCTATGAAGGAGTTTGGTTACATTACTAATGCTTCAGTATATGACCCTGAACAAGTTATTCAATGTGTTTGATCTTATCCATCTGTAAAACTGGCAGCCCAGCAATTCTTGATCATGGAAACATGGGGAAAAGCTCCAGCTCCAGTAAAGTGTTTTGAAGTGAGCATGTTTCAACACTTGCTCAATAACAGCTACACGGCAAAAGGCTTTTAACTATTCTTAATCTAATTCTTCAAGCCTCAGCAGCTTGAAAGACTCTTGCTCTAGGCTACAGAAATCTATCTCCTTTTTCTTTTTGATTTTTTTTTTTAAATTTTTCTTTCAAGAAGTGCTAAGAAGACTCAGGTATAGAAGGAACAGCTCTTGTTTAATCTGAAAAAGATGCTCCCACATGTTTGGGATATGAAGATTTGGAAATCTAAACCATGTAGAATTTGAAACTGAGAGTAAGAATGGATTTTTCTCTTTCTGACTTGAGTCTGTTTACTTCACAGGTGGATGGAAAGCTAGTAGCAAGAGATGCTGGACACCCCCATTACCCCTTCAATGACCCCTATTAACTACTAGAAGATAAGGTGTTAGAGTAACATACTCCTCTGCGTGCCCCTCCACAAAATAATTGTCGCCACACTTTGTCAAAAAACCCGTCCAAATAAAACGTTCCTGCTTCTAATTGACCTGATTTCTGGAGATACTGTCAAAGTTTGTGGATTTATTGCAGTGACTGGAAGCTTCGTCCTGGAAGCATCAAATCTTCTAGGCATTAGGTAAAGAGTGGAGAGTCTAAATCAAGTTCTAATCTTGTCATTATCAGGCTAGGGCAATACTTTGGGTTTACTCCCTGTGAAACAGTTTTGAAAGCTTTAGTTATTACCATGAGGGGGGAAAAAAGAGGGTGAAAGCAAGAAGGCATTTTAAGATTAACCAGCTGCTGAGCCATCGACTTTAATATCTTTGTTTTTTCACAGAGCATATAGTGAAATGTGCTACAGTTGGCCATTAACCGTTCATTAAACCCAAATAACCAGTCATGCCCAGTGCTTTTTATCTACTTTAGACTACTTGTGGGACTTCGAATTCTCTGTTTTCTTCTAATTTTCCTGTAGATTTGAGAAGAATAAATGCATGTCCTGGAGCAGGCCTTCAGGGCAATCCTCTCTGTTGCTTGTCACATGAAAAGGTTTCAGCTCTCACGTATCTCTGATCTGATTGTGGTATCACAAAACCTCAATGACTTTTTAGCCAGTAGAACAACATCCCGCTCTTCCAGTAAAGTTGCCCAGTGGATCTTTACGAAGGATGTCCAGTTTGAGTTCTGGAAGGTCCCTAAATTACTTCTTGACAGTAAGAGCAAAGACCAGTCAGAGGGCCTCTTCCATTTTTATATTGTGTTTTTGACTGCTGCCTGGGTAGATGCTTGGGAGAGCTGGTGCTGTCTCCTCTCCTACTGTTGACCTGCTGGTGACACCAAGCAAGTCACTTGCTTTTCATGTGCCTCCCTTCCCCACTTACCGCCTTTCTGTGTTATTCCTCGGGCAAGAACTAATTTACTGAGTGCTGATACACTGTTGTGCAGGACAGGAAGTCTAGCTCTAACAACTGCGGGGGTTTTTTTGTTTCAATCTCTTAATGAATTGTCCAGCCATCTGAGTACGACGGGCAGGAGGTGTCAGTACTGGCCAGTGCTCTGATGGTGATACCTGATGTGGCCTTAGCAGTGTTCACACTGTCCTTTGGTTCTCTCTACCTGTAAAAGAAGATTAATGCTTGTTCGTCTTAGTGCAGACAGGATAGCAAGGCAGGGTTTCTAAAGGCCTCTTGGATTTAAAACAAAGGAACTCTTTCAGATCTGTTGATGCCGTTCAGAGACAGTCATAGGCACGACTCCTTGCTTGCTGCTGGATAAAGAAAGCTTAACTGACTGTAAGTGACATGAGTAATACTTGCTTTTTATTCTTCCTATAGCAATAACAAACATAATATTAGAAGAATAATCCTTGATCCTTTTAGTTTTGATATCCTCATTTACAGTAGGCCTATAGTAAAACTATATATAAATTCAGGCATAATGCCTTCTCAAGTATTTCCTGCCCTGGGCCTCGCAGCGTGCAGCTGAACTGGAACAAACCTGTTTATCGCCTTTTGTGATTCTTATGTGAAATGTGAAGAACCTCCCTGGTAAAATGTTTCTAA